CTCTGTCGACATAATAATATTACTTAAGCAACTTGATAATTTCGCGGTACCAAATAAAATTCTAAAATGGCTTAAAACATATCTCTCTGAAAGAAATGTTATTTTGGAAACAATTCAGGAAAAATTAACAAAACCAACGAATAGAGGGCTGCCACAAGGTTGCCCTCTATCTCCGCTGCTTTTTAATTTATATACCAGTTTGTTACACGAAATTAATACAGAAAAAGTTATACTAGAACAATTTGCAGATGATTTTGCAATAACAATAATAGGTGAAACTATAGAAGAGGTGCAATTAACAGCTAAGGTAGCACTGGGAAGAATTAAAGAAAAATTAGAAGACCTGAAGATCGAAATAAACGCCGAAAAATCAGCAATAATTCTGTTCACTTCTAGACAAGATGATATAATAAATGTGAAAATAGGTGATGATAACATTAAACAAGTAAATCAACATAAATATCTAGGCTACGTAATAGATCAAAAATTATCCCATAAAATGCATATAAATTACATAAATAATAAAGCAAAACAAAAATTAAATGTACTCAAAATAATATGTAAAAAAAAAGAACGGTGCACATCCTCAAACGGCTTTGAAAATCAATAAAGCAGTTATACGCTCTCAAATAGATTACGGACTAACAATTTACGGTGGTGTTGCCAAAACCAATCTGCAAAAGCTCAATTCTACATACAATGCAGGGATTAGAACAAGTCTAAGGCTAGTTAAATCCACACCCATTAATGTTCTATATGCAGAAGCAGGAGAAATGCCAATCAAGGAAAGAGCAGGTTGGTTAGCTAAAAAAGAAATAATTAAAATTTTTGCGCATATTAAACCTATAATTAATAACCTAAGCAAATTCACAGAAATGGACAATCTACCTAAAAAATACACCTTTTTGGAAAAAATAACATTTGAGAATAATTATTTAGTCATACAAACAAGTAGCTCAATTATATCAAACGAAATTAAAAGATGTATAGAAGAAATAGAAAAAACTACCCATAGTAACAGAAATCCCAAATTTAAAAAAGCAAAATATGAATGAATATATGTACTATTAGATCTTTAACAAATGATTTCATTCAAAATACATATGAGAACCATATAAAAATTTATACAGATGGCTCGAAAACTTCAAATAAATGCGGTATAGGTATATGCAATGTTGCAAATTTTCGCATCAATGAAAACTCAGTACCAGTATTTGAGAGATACAACTCACAATGTTCATTTTCCAACCAGGCTCTCACTACGAATATGACAGTGGCAATAACAAAAATATTCCGACTCAACTCAGCGGGAGAACAGACAAATGCTGAGAATGTGTTCATCTAGCCAGACTTTCTCTCTCTCAGTCATTGAGCTTAGTCGTTCTGATTCACCATGCATCTAACTCGAGGTCTGAGTCATAGTGTGTTGATAGAGACAAATTGAGTCAGAGTGAGTCTACCTGTTCGTTGAAGCAGTTATATCTGGGTACGTTGATAAAGGGGCAATGGAAATAAAATAACTTATTAGTAAGCGTGCAAAGGGGCGACTGTTGAACCTGAAAATAGATTCAGTGTCACGTCGGGGTCGCCACATTTTTGCAATAAACGCACAATGCATGAATGAGAATGAGAATGTATATGGTTAGAAAACAAAGAATCAATTAGTTGCAAAGTAAACAGTGAACTCTCAATAATGAACGTGGAACTTACAGCAATTAACATAGCGATTGATATAATTAATGTTCAACCAGAGACCTTATTTGTAATATGTTCCGATTCAAAATCAGGTTTTATATCGTTAAAATCAAAGAAAATTAAAAACAATTATCTAATTACAGAAATTTTAAACAAACTAAAAAACTCTACGAAACAAATATCCCTCCAATGGGTTCCAGGACACAAGGGCATAATCGGAAATGAAAAAGCTGATAAACTTTCGAAAAAAGGCTGTACTAGCACAAATGCGATTTATTCCAAAATACCACTAACAGACGCATTTAACTTAGCTAAAGGAGAATCACTAAATGAATGGATTTCTCTATACACAGAATTGTCTAAAGACAAGGGTCTTCGCCACTTTAAAATTTATCCAATCCCTACACTTAAGCCCTGGTTTTACAACACAGGCCTGGAAACACACGAAATCATTAACATAGGAAGACTAAGGACATTTCACACGATGACGAAAGAAAAACTTTACCAATGGAAACTCATAAGTAATGAAAATTGTATCGAATGTGGGGTCAAGGAAGATATCAACCACGTAATTTTTATTTGCACTAAATACATTGAAAATAGATATAAATTCAACTGCTTGCTTGCTAACAATAACACTGATGACTTGCTTGAGAACGCCGGAACAAATACATACCGAGAAATAGCAAAATTCATTAAAATAAACAGAATTCAAATTTGAATAGAAGAAGAAGAAAAAAATAAAACATATCCCCGGGAAGGGAAGGGGGTGGTATGTATGTACGGGTGGTCCTTTTTTTTTACTGGTTATGGATCGAGATTCGTTCCGGAACTTGTGAGAAATACAGGCCAACTCCCCTGCGCTCGATATCCCTAGGTCACGTCTCCTTGGTGGTTGAGCGTCGTTGATAACCCGTTCGTTTATGGTTATTTTTTATTAGGGATGTTAATGCATTCGACTGGAGAGAATCGCCCATGAAATATGCCTCCACCTGAGAGTTCCTTCCTGACATCTTCAAGTGGTGGAATTTTTAATTATTATTGTATGATTATTGACTGCACGGAAAAGGTCTCCATTAAGCTTTAGAGAGGGTCTAGGATAAGATATGAGCGGACGCGGACTGCCTGGTTTTGAGCCAAACGAACTATCAAAGCCAGAGCCATACGAGCAGCGCCTTTATTAATTACATTGGCAGTGTTGCTGACCCTCTCATAGACTGCATGCTTCAATCAGATTTATTTTTATTGTTCTTGAAGTAACACACAATGAAAATACACCAATATTTAATGTAACAACAATTTTTATTGTAATAGAGTTGTTCATTATTGTTAATGATCGAATCATGTTAACAATAAAATAAATGAAAAATACGATAAAAATCATTGTAACAACATTTTATTATGTACATTCATTGTACAGCTAGATAGCAGTTTTGCCGTTTTCGGAAGAGTAAAACATTATAACAATCATTTTTATTGTCGACAATAAATATTAATGTTAGAGCATTGTTTCCACTGAAAATTTCACTGTAATTTTTTTTTCGGGTAGACACTTTGGTAAGAGGGCTGAGAGAGCCACTCTCATTGTTTTGCAAAAATTATAGGCAAGAAAATCTCGCGCAGGCTTACCACTACTGTGCAGAGTATCTAAACTTAAGCGCAAGAAATGCACCTTTCAACACACAAACACCCCTTTTGCTACCCGCTCCACGAAGCAACCTACCATCGAAAAACCTCAGTTCACCAGTAGTCCCTCCGCGCAACTAACAACCAAAACCATGCTCAAATTCCCAACCAGGAAGACCTCCGATATCATCACCCCCACGGAACATATACATTTCCACAAGTGATTCACTGCGCGCCCACGATCCAACCGCCAAACGAATGGCTAACACTCTGAACAAAATGTCAAGGGAGTAACTGGCTGTGAGAAAATAAAAGACTGCCTTAATTGAAATGTTTTTAACCCCTTGTGCAACGAAGGTTCAGCTTCTTAGTTTTCGATTTCCACACCGTTTTTGATGGAATAATCGGCACTCCGACAAGCTAACAGAACAGCTATGCTGAACATCTGGGAAAAAATCAGAATTTCGCATCCAAGCGAAACTGAACGAAACTCACTGATTCCAATTATGACCTCGGCCAAAAATTGACATGCACTACGGATTTTGAATGTGGAATTCTAACAACAGACGATTTCGCAATACACCAACAATCATACCCATATCCAATCTCGTATAAACCTGAGGTTGATACAAACATAGAAAAGCTTCTCAATGGTATAATAAGACCATCTAGATCAACTTGGAACTCACCTGTATGGATCGTCCCTACAAAGATGGACGCCTCGGCGAGACAAAATTGACTACCGTAAGTTGAACGACAAGACCATTTCGGACAAATATCCCATGCCTGAAATCGCAAACACAATTGATCAATTAGGTGGCAATAAATACTTCACCACCTTTGACCTTGCATCTGGTGTCCACCAGATCAGAATGAAGGATGAATATTTCATGATAATTAGTTGCTTGTTATATTATTCTGTGTTGAGAAGAGAACCTTCACTAAATTCCAAATTGTACTTAATTTTAGTAATCTGATGAACCGTTGAAGCGGTCAACCATTCCTGTGCTGTCCACATCTGACCCGATCGCCAAAACCGAATCAACCGAGTGACATCTGGGGGTGGTCATTTGCGCACGAGATTTTTCGACAACGGTGGTTATTCATACCAGCCCGTTTGCCACCAAGGACCTTTCCGGCTGGTTTGTTTCTTCCAGGCGAGCCACCATGTGTCGGAACTTCCTATTACTGCCATTCGGTCTAACAACCAATCGGCTGCGCATGGTCAACCGTAGCCATCGTATCAACCGACCTCTAGGGATGTTCTCCAAAGCAACCACCCCACCACTTTCTCTTATGCCGATTCCAACCCATTTACATCGCCCGGTTGGTCAGTTTTGCACCACTTCCCAACGAAGCCGATAACGCGTCCAGCGTAATAAACAAGGACTTTTACCTTACCTCCATCTATTTATTTAGGATTCCCAACATCGAAAACTCCCCCTCGTCTTGGGAATCGGAACCAAATAAAGTCGTGAGTACCAACCTCGGGAGCTTAGGCTGATTCTTTTCTAGGACCAAGCGGTTCCGTGATCAAAATACTCCGAACAAAAGCTATTTTAGATGTTTGGAAAACTGGACTTGGGCTCCATGATAAAAGAAGGAATGGACTACAGAGATGCTATCTGCACCTGTTGGCGTCTCTAATCACTTTGATTATTAATCATGATTTGACTTACCCAAATATCAATAATTTAAACGCTTTTAATCCAGATCTCCGAAAAGTCTTTATATGTTGAAGTTGTTCCTCCAGAAGTTCTTCATACTTCACATCTGTGCACAACTGCTCTCAATACTTCAGTTCTAGTTTCTATGGAAAATGGCTGCTCTCGTTTCGTGATCCTGAAAAAAAAAAAAAAATGGCGAACGTCATTTAGCTCTGACGACAGATTCAAATCCAGTAAATTACCTTAGCAAACTTCTTCCCCAGCACTCCGGCAGCCACGATCCGAGCTTTCTGTTTCTCAAACTTCTTCAAATTTTCCTTTCTGGTTCTTCCGGTATCATCAATCCGCTTCAACTGTTTTTCACCAACTGCAATCGTTGTGTCACACGTCAATCAGTGTTATAACTTGATCGATTTTCAAAATGTCCCGCACGCCCAGTTTGTGATAAGTTTGTGCACGGTAAGAAAAAAGTACTCAAAGGTAAGTTCTTTTCACTCATCTCGACACTATCCAGCTTTCCATGCTCGGTAAAACAAACCTCACACGCATCAATATATTGACGCTACGGGGAATTATTGACAATAATATTGATGATGTGAATTCAGAAATATTGTCAATCTCAATGTATTGACGTCAATATAGAATGTATTGACAATACGATTATTGTCAATAAAAGCAATCGTGTAGGTTTGTCTGTGGTGTAGGGTTCACTTAATACCAACAATCAATACGAAACTAACGATTATAAATTGGCTCACTACTTGACTAGCCTATTGGTCCCAAGTAAACGATTAATGTACCCTATTCTAGTCGAAATTCTACTACTACACAATGTTTGTTTTGATTCGCTATGAAAGTTTGACAGATAAAATGAGGGGTTATTGGTTTTTCCTATGTTTCGAGGGGTGAATCGATTAGCTTGGGACCGAAGATAGTACACAGAAAAAAAGTTGTTGAATATTACATCCAAACTGCTGCAACCAGGTCAATCCATCGGTTGTGTAATATAACCATAGAGGTAACTCTAAGACTAGTAGGTCGCGAAGAAAATCATTATTATTTTTGGCTCACTCAGTACCAGAACAACGGTCCCAAGCAGTCCCAAGCTATTTCACTCACCCCTGCATGTTCTGCATGAATCCACACACCCCTGATGTTATCTGTCAAACTTTCATAGCGAATCAAAACAAACATAGTGTAGTAATAGAATTTCAACTAGAATAGGGTACGTTAATCGTTTGCTTGGGACCAATAGGCTACTAAAGTGGTGAGCCAATTTAAAATCGTTAGTTTCGTATTGATTGTTGATATAACGTTGTACGATGTACATCGATTTTGCGAACAAAATTACATCCATTGATGTAATATTGTATCTGCTTTTTGCTATTACATCATTATTTCGTACATCAGCTTGAATTACATTGATCGATATTACATTTTTTTTTGCTGTGTACCAGAGCTGAGCCAAAAAGTTGAGCACGTTTCTTCGGGACCTTCTGGTCTTAAGTGGATCCTACACGATTGCTTTTAATATTGACAATAATATTGATGATGTGAATTCAGAAATATTGTCAATCTCGATACATTGACGTCAATATATAATGTATTGACAATACGATTATTGTCAATACAAGCAATCGTGTAGGGTCCACATTAGAGTTACCTCTATGGTATATGCAACTGTTTTTTTTTAGGGCGTCTTGTTGGGCCTGCCCCCTGTCTCGCCGGGGTATTATCGTGCACAGCTCTGTTTAGAGTCCCACGCTGACACTAGGACGGTGATCAGCTGCTCCTAACATGGAGAACAGACGCCGTTTTGAGCTGCACCTCCATGGTGAACAGACGATCGGGTTTGGTGAAACATTTCCTCTATCACCGTACTATCAACAATCAATACGAAACTAACGATTTTAAATTGGCTCACCACTTTAGTAGCCTATTGGTCCCAAGCAAACGATTAACGTACCCTATTCTAGTTGAAATTCTATTACTACACTATGTTTGTTTTGATTCGCTATGAAAGTTTGACAGATAACATCAGGGGTGTGTGGATTCATGCAGAACATGCAGGGGTGAGTGAAATAGCTTGGGACTGCTTGGGACCGTTGTTCTGGTACTGAGTGAGCCAAAAATAATAATGATTTTCTTCGGGACCCAGTGGTCTTAGAGTTACCTCTATGGTACTATCATAGAGGTAACTCTAAGACCACTGGGTCCCGAAGAAAATCATTATTATTTTTGGCTCACTCAGTACCAGAACAACGGTCCCAAGCAGTCCCAAGCTATTTCACTCACCCCTGCATGAATCCACACACCCCTGATGTTATCTGTCAAACTTTCATAGCGAATCAAAACAAACATAGTGTAGTAATAGAATTTCAACTAGAATAGCCCGCATAAACGTGAACCATAAATTGACCTTACCAAAAATGGTTAAAAATTGTTTATAATCCCTGCTAAACTTCAACTGAAATGGTTATGGAACTTTACAAGAACGTTTAATGATAAAGTTTTAACCTTATGTATTATGGTTTTTTGGAAGCGGACCTTACAAATAATGAGTTGTTAAGAACCATTACCATTCAAAATTCTTGTTTTCTCCATATATTTTCGGGAGGAGGACTTTATTAGAACCTTTTAACTTATGGTTTGAGAACATTAATGGTTATGGTTATGGTAGTCAGTAAGGTCCATGAATAGTTTTGTAACATCGATCAACTTTATGAGGAATATATCGCAAATTAGTTGCCTGTAAATTACTGATTACCAACTCACGATATATTCCACGTAAAGTTGAGCGATAATACAAAACCATTAATGGACGTCACTGACTATCATAACCATAACCATTAATGTTCTCAAACCATAAGTAAAAACGTTCTAATATAGTTCTCTTTTCGAAAATGTATGGAGAAAACAAGAATTTTGAATGGTAATGGTTCTTAACAACCCATTATTTGTGAGGTCCGCTTTCAAAAAACAATAATACATAAGGTTAAAACTTTATCACACAAACGTTCATGTAAAGTTCCATAATCATTTCAGTTAAAGTTTAGGAGGGATTATAAACAATTTATAATTATTATCGGTAAGGTCAAGTTATGGTTCGCGTTTATGCGGGAGGGTACGTTAATCGTTTGCTTGGGACCAATAGGCTACTAAAGTGGTGAGCCAATTTAAAATCGTTAGTTTCGTATTGATTGTTGGTACTATCAACCAGTGAACACTCGTGTTTATTTCAGTTACCGTGTGGACGTAATTTGTGATGAGCCCCGGTCCCTTTCAAATTGTATCATGTTGTAATGATTATAGTGAGAATAAATTATAGCAGATGCAATTATTTCCGGTCAAAATAACTATATTGTTCAATTCTTTTAGAGATAACCCGAAACTATAGTTGATTTGACTATATATAGAGGGCAACAACTATAGTCCATAGTTGGCTCTTCGGTTGGTTCAACTATATTTTTCAGTAGATGAACAAACGCCAAACTTCAAAATACAACTATGCGTTAGTTGATTCAAGAAAACTATTGTTAGAAAAGCAAAATTTTACAATTTTCATTAAACGAACTGCTCTTCATTATCGACATATTAAATAAAGTTTGTTTTGCTTCTTTATCGATCTCAAAAACACAACTGCAAAATCATAAAAAGTGAACAAGAACATTCAACTTAGATTTGAACCGTGTTCATCTGCGTGAGAGCCAGCTATCTTATGGCCTGCTCTACGCATCACAAGTTAAAAGTATGTGGATTTATGATGATCACTTGAAACCAAATTATATAAATAAATTACATTTGACGGTTGTTATAATTGATCAAATTATAGTTGAATTGAGTATAAGATGAACAGTTGAATTTATTAGGTAGATATGATTGAGTTGACGGTCAAATTAATGTTGGAATAACTATAGGTTTCTTTCAAACAACAATATTTTTCCATGTGAAAGTCACTATTAGGATTGTTATCTTAACTTAACGAATTTGGTCTCCGTGTGGAGCTGGTAGTAAACGATTTGAGATTGTATGGGGATTTACAGTATTAATTGAATATTTTCAATATAAGCATGTATGTTAAATACAAGAAAAGTGCCCGAGCACATTAAAATGGTACAAATACAAGTACTCGTAAACATTTGACTTGCATTGAAAATGTATTTCGTAAGAAATTGCGGATGTTCTGATATTCTCCATACTGCAAAAATGATTTTACCAGCACTGGCGGGGCGACATCTCTCGACTTTTCGGTGTAACTACCACACAAATGATGTAATTAATCGTATTCATCTATATTAAAAATATCAAATAGTAATGAACTCGTGCACTTTTTTACATTTAAAACTGCTTATCAGGAAGATAATGAATAGAAACTAAAATCTCCATACATTTTCAAACGGCTTCATATCACTCTTATAAATAAGTACGGACGATATCACAAATGGCGCAATTATATCCCGTATGGTTAGTACGATAGCCCGAATAGGTGGTTAAGCACTTTTATGGTTATTTTGTATGCACTGTATTTGTAAAACAACAAAACATGATTAATTAAGAAAAAAATCATCAATACAGAAAATACAGATTTTTTAATAGAGTGGATACAGATTTTTTATAAAACCACCTGGCAGCTCTGCTGATGAGAGTCAAGAGTTTCGTCTGTTGCTGAGAATTATTCCCTGAAGAGGTCGCTTGTGGACGTGAGAGATGAAGATTATTTTTCACCGAGCTTCATGATTGAGCGCAGCCCTATCACTTTCCGCTGTTCGTCGATGTAGGCAATTCCAGAATTTTCGAGGATTGAGTTTGAGATTCTGTTGGGCTCGATGCAAGTAAATTTCAGTGCCAACATTTCAAAGGGGCGTAATTGCTTTTGTAAACAATGACTTTAGCCATCAATTTCTCGCGAATGAAATCTTACCTCTCCAAAATTACAATTCTAGCTGGTAGAGGAAACATTCCTCTACCTTCTAGTGTCATTATTTTTCATGAGTGAGCTTTTATTCGCGAGAAATCGACGGCTAAAGCCATTGTTTACAAATGCAATTACGCCCCTTTGAAATGTTGGCACTGATTTGTACGAAACAGTTTTTTGTTGAGTCGTTTGTATCTGCTATTACAAACGAGGCAATATGACCGTATGCACGAGTTACTGTTCCTAGAGAGCAAACCTTCTAACCAATTTCAGGTGGAAGACAAAAACAGGTAAATTTTTGTGAAGTCCGTTTTCCTGAAGTTACAACGCTGAACTTCTAATTACACACCATTAAGGGTCTCCATATTGGATGTACACCACATCCTACTGCTATCTACTTTATTTATTTTGAGGACATGTTAAAGTTCGCTTACACAAAAAATTGTCATAAAAGGCCCCTTTCCCTCAGTTTTGAAAATAAATATATGACTGCGCAACCATCGGGATCTGCACAAAGTATGGTGTCGGCACGGTATGCGAATATCGAGTTGACTGTAATTTCAAAAACCCTTTTATTATTTTTCAGACTCACAAACTTTATTAGTATTGATGTTATGCGTTTTCGCATTTTAACGACATATCGGTAAAGCAGCTTTAGAAATGAACGACAAACTATCAGACACTTGAACTCATGGTTTGCTTGAACGTTGTGCTTGTTCTGAGCTACCTCTTATCTTATTAAGGGTTTTAAATGCTTTTTGTAAGGACGCGGCACATTAGTTTAGTTTCTCCTAAGATAAGCGAACACTCCTATTTCGCCCTGTAACCTTTTGCTACTGTAGTATTTTGGTGCCAATGTGAGATTTACTTGAATCATAAAATTAGGAAATGGTACGAATATTGTGTATAAAACCGACCTACTAACCCTACTCGTTTGAATATTCGTTTCATGGAATAACTAAGACTGCTGTTATCAGCGTTAATTTAGTCTTTGTGGAGATGTTCCTTTTCCTTGATGATGGAAAAGTCTAATCGCATCCAGATGATGACCATCACAAACAGCACCCAGAGGAAACCAACTACCAGCAGTGGTTCCTGCAGCATCATCACTCGGCTAAAGTTGTACTTCAGATTGAAGTCAGAAATATGATTTTCGACGACATTTTTCTTGCTGAATGCGATGACGGGGCGACCAAATGTGTCCAGGTAGGTGTAATGCAGTGAATCGGCATGTCGAGTAACCGTGTAAGGAGCGATTAGCTTGATGTTAGTTGACCCTTCTGGAAGGATAATCTTCGTGATGACCTCATCGACAACCATATCGTCAAAGATGTGATCCAAGACTCTCATCTTCAATAAATAGTTGTCGCCAGTCTGGAACAAATACTCGAAGCTAGGCACATTGTACCCTAGGGTGTAGTGGGTCTTCCAGCCGCCGAATAGGGGAAAACGAGGACGAAGGTCCAGCTCAACTGAATCCTTCAACACACGCATGGCCGAAGTGGAAATGTTGCCATTTGTGTCACGATAGTACACTCCAGTGGCTGCAGCTGGCAGCAGGGTCTTATACGATTTTACGCAAGCCTGGTTCGAGCGGGAATCTTTCTGATAGTCGTAACGGGAGAAAGATCCCTTCAAGGCGGCGCCAGAGTGAACGATATCGATTGTTTCCTCCACGGCGATATTTCCCCAGTGGGAAACTTCAATTACACGCTCCAGCTTGGTGACGGTCATAAATGGAGTGTAGTTCTCAAAGTGAATTGTCAAAGGTTCCATGGAGAATGCTAAAAGAGAAGTAAAATGCTTTTAGATGTCTTCGTCTTATGGAAAAGTTATATTTTTAATGTTAGTAAATATGCTAAACCTTACCAGCAATATTGTCATAAGGTCCATAGGTGATTGTTGTATCGGAGTGAACAGCCGGCTTGAACTGGGTGAAGCTTTCGACGTTTCGCGAACTCAGATGAACAGTCGTCTTCTGAGTGACTGTCTTGAATGGCGAATAGAAATAAACGCTTCCAAAGTATTGTACCAGTTGACGGTCTGTCTGACTGATTGCGGTCGGATGCGGCTTCAGGGACTTGGTAAAGACTGTTTCAATGTAAACAACCGGATTGGCCGATCCAGCCGGCAAACTCATCGAAAATGTCGCTCCTTTGGGTGAAGCAGTTTCCGTCAGCTTTAGGTCTTTCTTCGAGGAATCCTTGGCAGAAACAAATGCCAGCCGTTCCCGTTCGTCATTCGGAACGATGAACAGATAACTGCTATTGGGTTTCTTAGTTTTATGCTCCAGGGTAATTTTGTAGCTGATTTTCACCAACTGCGATGCGAGATCGATAGTGCGATCAACATTTTTGTTTTCTATTTCCACGTCAATGGCAGACTGGGCACAAAAAATAACGGCAGCAAACACTGCCAGGGACAGTAATTTCCTATTCATTTTGATTTTCGATACGAAAATCACACTAATTTTACCGGTACACGAAAAAGCCGTAGGAAATATAAAAGTTTTTCACAGCCTCCACGAAATGAACAGACCGCAATGCAAAAGAGAAGGGAGGAGGACACGCACACAGAATGCACCAGCAGCCGCGAATCGCTTGTTTTTGACAGTTGCATGACGTGTATCAATGGTGTGAATCGACATTATTACCAGATGAGATTAATAAATCGAAAAGGGTGTTACCCATGGTGGGTCGCACCTTGGGCGTTACTTACACGCTATTTCAAAACTCCTCAAATTTGGGTAGAATCCACCCAGATTGGTCAATACTGAACCTTCCCAAAAATGGGTTAACATGTATTTACCCAAATCTGGGTAAACGTATACCTACGACAGAAACTGGGTAACGGTTACTCAGATGTTGACATTTGATAACAGGGTAAACTTTACCCACTTTAATAGCAATAAGATGATATGACCGCTGCAGTAGTATCAAACATAACCTCACCGACTAGCTCTTCTAGCCTGTTATTGATTATTGAGGTCATATTGTCGGAAAAATATATAACTACGGAATACGACATTGAAATACCCGTTACAAATGCTAACCATTTATTGAGATTTAATTTTTAATGAGATCTTTAAATTAGGAACAAGAACAAACATTTGGCATCGAGAAAAGCGTCACAGAATATGTCGATAACCTAGAACAAGGAGAATGTTCAAAGTCGAGAAACTAACAATATACTTACTAACTATATCTGCTAGTAGCATTCGCCATGATAACAGTTCCAATTTTTTTTGCATCACACTTAGGTACATATTTTGCGGGATATTTTGAGCATTAAAGTTTTCACTGGAAGCGCAACAATACCTGCGCCATTTTTTACTTTGGGAAAATTACGATTAGAATTATTTACCCGAAATCTGGGTAGATTCTACTCATCAGAACAAAACAAGTTTACCCTGATTTTGACAACTCCTTACTAGTAATACTATACTCGCCGTTTCCTAGAGCGTTTGCTGCGATACGGCTGGCATTTTTTTTCTCGAAGTCCCGGATTTGGCTGACTGAGTAGCTTTTACTTAGTTTGAAATTTTTCTATTACTCAGATTTTAACAACCTAATGCATCCGACGAAATTGAGTACGATCGACTCAGAGCAACCGTAACGGTCGTTGTCATTTGCGCGACTATTTTAACAGCGCACAGCGCTCTCATTTTAGTTTAGTCACTCTTCTCCACACCGGTCGCTGCTATCGCGGTTATCAATTTACTCGCCGTAGTCCGTACCGGTAGTGAGCATTTTGACATTTCTACGAATAGCAACCTTTCTCCCGCGCTGCTAAATTTGGTATCGCGCTTCTCACCGAGAAGCCGACTGCTATTTTAGTTACTCGTATGGCAACCCCCGATACGGTAGCTGCGCTATAGACGAGTGCACGGATGGATTTGAGTTCACTCACTCGACAAAAAGTGACACAACAGCGGGGCCCTGTTTACTAAAAATGAACACATGAATAATACTCACGTAACATTTGAAACTGGCCTATCAACTTTCGTACACAAAACTTGTTAAGCCTTTTTCGCGCGAACCGAATACGCCCACGCAAACTAACAACACCATCGGGTAGGGGAAATTATACCCTTCCCGATAGTGCTCTTGGTTTGCGTGGACGTACTTCGGTTCTCGTGGAAAGGACCTAGCAAATTATTTACAAAAGTTGATAGGCCCTTTTCAAATGTTACGCGAGCATTATTCATGTGTTCATTTTTAGTAAACAGGGCCCCGCTGTTGTGTCAATTTTTTTTAGTAGATGAACAAAAGTTCACCCACTCGTCTATGATGAGCGCTGCTAAAATGAGTTTAGCAGCGTACCGTTACGGTTGCTCTCACTCGGTGAAACGCTGAAATAAGCGTGTAGGTACACGGTAACCAGCGTAAACACATAGACCTTTTTGACGTTTAATCGTCTTTCTCTATCTAGCACACATGGATGAATGAACGGTTTGTTTTCCCACTAATCTGTTTCCCTCTGGCTCGCACTCGTTCGATTTCAATTGTGCAGTAGTGTGCGCCGATTAAACGTCAAAAAGCTCTATTAATGTGTAACAAATTCACACATTTCGTGAAACAAGGGGTCTACTCATAAAATGTGTAATCTGCGTTTACACATTTATGTGTAAACCCATCAAACGTCAAAAGAAGTGTATTTTTTACACATTTTGCAAGTACGGTTTTTACTGCAAAATGTGTAAAAAGTAATCATTTATAGAATTTTAATATGATGGGGACGAATGGAGTTTTCTTATTTGTGCCAATGATTAAATAAAGATTGCTCGGATTCAATACAATTTAATTAAAAAAAAAAATCACAGCCAGGCAGCATTCAATGAAAAACTTAAAAATGTTTTTTTTTTCTAGGGCTAAGCTATGAAAATAATATAAACCACTTACCCTCTAGCTTGTCCATCGTTGCTCTTTAAAGTTTGGAACGTAGTTCCTCATCCTTTGCCTAAAATTGCTGAAATTTATTCGCTTAGGCAAATGGCGTGCATCAGCGAAGCAGTATGCAGCAAGTTTTGAAGTTTTTTACCCATTAATGAGTTATAAAATACACATTTTTTGACTGGTACTACATTCTTAAAATGTGTATTTTTTCACACATTTTAAGCCCGCATAAACGTGAACCATAAATTGACCTTACCTAAAATGGTTAAAAATTGTTTATAATCCCTGCTAAACTTTAACTGAAATGGTTATGGAACTTTACATGAACGTTTAATGATAAAGTTTCAACCTTATGTATTATGGTTTTTTGGAACTGGACCTTACAAATAATAGGTTGTTAAGAACCATTACCGTTCCTAATTCTTGTTTTCTCCATACATTTTCGGAAAGAGAACTATATTAGAACCTTTTAACTTATGGTTTGAGAACTTTAATGGTAATGGTTATGGTAGTCAGTAAGGTCCACGAATGGTTTTGTAACATCGATCAACTTTATGTGGAATATATCGCGAATTGGTTGGCTGTAATTTACTGATTACCAATTCACGATATATTCCACGTAAAGTTGAGCGATATTACAAAACCATTAATGGACCTTACTGACTACCATAACCATTACCATTAATGTTCTCAAATCATAAGTAAAAACGTTCTTATATAGTTCTCTTTCTGAAAATGTATGGAGAAAACAAGTATTTGGAATGGTAATGGTTCTTAACAACCTATTATTTTTAAGGTCCAGTTCCAAAAAACCATAATACATAAGGTTGAAACTTTATCATTAAACGTTCATGTAAAGTTCCATAACCATTTCAGTTAAAGTTTAGCAGGGATTATAAACAATTTTAAACCATTTTAGGTAAGGTCAATTTATGGTTCGCGTTTATGCGGGAGATCTCCTAATTTAAACATTTTTTGACAGCTGCATATAAACATAAAAAATGGGTATTTTTTTTACACATTAATGTGTTTACGCTGGTTACCGTGTATATCTTTTTTTTTACTGCGTGCTTCCTAATATGCTATTTTAAGGCTACTCAGTGACTGGGTAAATCGCACTCATTTTTGCATGATGTATGGAGCTGTCAAAAAATGATTAAACTGGTTTTACTCCGATGAGTGGAATCTACCCAGATTCTAGGTAAATGGTTCTGATATCAATTTTCCTTAAGTTCAAAATAGCGCACGTTATGAACAAGCGATTTTTGTGCAGTGAGGTTTTGAGAAGTGAAGCAGTGAAAATTAAGCAGCTACGTAATAGTCTGGATGACGAAAGCTCAGCTAATTGGTGAGACATGCAATTCTAATATAAATAATTCGTTGGTATCAAATAAATACAGAATTATAATTTTCATAATATTTTTTTAATATTCTTCCTATGGAGATCACCAAGCGCAATCTCACGAACACTAAAATCCAACATCCATACATAAAAATAAAGAAGAAGAAGAAACAAAAAGGTATCGCGATATCACAACTACTTAAAAAGTAAGCGCGTGGTCTCACGCACACTTTTGTGCATCTGGAGAACTCTATATAGACGAAATTATTTATATATAAAGCAATCATGGGTCATTCATTCGTTTCTATCGAAATGGGTAAGGTTTACTCAGTTGAAAAATTTCATCATCTGAGTAACCGTTACCCAGTTTCCGCCATACACGGTTAGAAAAAAGTATCCAAAATTAAGTTCTTTTTACTCATCTCGGCACTATCACAGACAAACAGACATAACTCTTAGAAGAAAATTCTTCAAAAAATATCGTCAAGCGTATTTTGCATGCGCACTCTATCATCCACATTCCCAAGCATTGTTTTGCAACCGGAGCATCCCTCGTTAATGCAATTTTTTCACTAATTGCTTTTCCCTCGCTCTGTCAATGCGTCCACTGTGTTGAATAAAAACAAAACAGATGGAAGTAAGTGATGTCGGTTCTACGAAATTTTCCGAAGATCTATAGAATTTAGTGAATTCTGCAGAAATACGGATCCGTAGGAAAAATTCCCAGAAGTCAAGACTTTTGTTTAGGGATTTGTTTTGTTTGCTTAGTGTGCTTTTTCTTTTGCTGGAAACAAGTTTTTAAACGAGGCAATGCATCACTTATTAGTGCCCTTTCTACCACCGCTCATCACATTAATGTGTACACAGGAGAAAAAAATATGTACCAATCAATGATATTCATGGTGAAGTATTGAACATCAAAAACTGGTAAAAGTTGATTGAATATTACAGTCATCAACATGATTTGCTCTCGAATTTTGTGTACATCGTACAACGTAAAATTAGGAACGGAATGACTAATGTGCAGCAGTTTTTATGTAATATTCAACAACTTTTTTACTGTATTCGTCAGATGTGGTATGTGTCTAATGTGGGATGCCTTGACCACTTATCATTTTCAAGAGCTGACATTTACTAACTAGACGTGAAAAATAACTGGCATCACTGATAAGTTCGAAATGTGGCTTCAGTGGCGCCACCATGACAAGTGCAAGCACATTCCCAACTAAAATATTATTAGCGATGAATGTGATTATGAGTGTTATGTCTATTTGTCTGTGGCACTATAGTGCAGGAACCCAAAAGTAGGTAAAGCGGGTCAAGGTAATTTTCATTTACTTGTGTACAGTTCGTATGGAATTTTC